TCAAAAAAAAAAGAAAAGAAAAGGCTAATCCATATAGATTTGGAAAGCATTGATAAAAAAATCTATAAGTTAACACACTTTTAATTTTTATGGTAAATCACACTTTGTGCCCTAAAGTATTACTAATTCATTATTTGGCCCTAAACTTTATTTCCCAATTAAGCTTGCACTATTGAATTTTTGTTAGTGTGGTCTCTTTGGAAGATTCTACTTTAATAAAAATTAAAATTAAAAATTATCGATAACGATAATGTATGTTATAATTTTGAAATTATTAAAGAAAAATGATAAATTTAAGAACAAATTACATTCGTGGTCCTTACATTTTGCTCCTTGTGTCATTTTGGTCCATATACTTTGGTCATTTTGAATCAATTTGGTCTAATTAATAATGTCATTATTGTTTTTCACGGAAGATAATCATTGAATTGATTGGGGTTAACATACTAAGTTGAGTAAGTTTATAATTCTACTCTCAAAACTATGACACATGCCACTTATATGCACATATTTCATAAAAAAAAATTAAGAATTATAATCAATTGGACAAAATTGAAACAAAGTCATAAAATTAGGGTCAAAACCGAGCCAATTAAAATTACAAAGACTAAAATGACATAAGGACAAAAGTATAGAAACTACTGTCGTAATTTATCCTAAATTTAATATAAAACATCTGGAAAGTTAACATATATTAGAGGAGATGTGTGAAATGAGTTTATAATCAAATTTTATATATAGATATAAGAAAAAAATTGGTAGGATTGGGATTGTTGTAGAATCGGGATGATAGTGCAATTCTACACAATTTTATGACTAGAATTGTGGTTACTTATCTTACTAAATTTAATATCTTAGTATGATTCAGATCATTTAACCCAACTGAAATTGTAGAATGGTAAAATCCTATGATTTGGATTAAGATTCTAACGACCATGATGAGAATCCTTGTACCTCATTATCTAGTGACTAATTTGACTCCCCATCACCTTGATCACCCTACAGTATGCCCAAAAAAATTTAATGTGTATTTTTTTATATATGGTAAATTTAAGAATAAAATAAAATGGGTTGGACCTTTTTAGCTCAAGGATCTAAAAATCTATTGCAATAGATTTGTAAGAACTGTTATACATTTAATTATTCAAATATGAAGTATATTAATTTGAAAACTAAATAGATGATGTTTAATGGAATAAAGTTTGTTGTGCTTAATTATGTTTGTAACCATGTGAATGGACTTGCAGGTTAAATTGACTAAACTAAGAGAGATGACAGTTAAATGCTGTCATGAGCTCTCAAATATTCTTTTCCCATCTAATTCAGTTAAGGGCATGCAAAATCTTGAACTACTTGAAGTAACGAACTGTCAATCAGTAGCCTTTGACCTTGAAAGACTTGTTTGGGAAGATGGCATATCAGATATGGCACTCCCTTCATTAAAAAAAGTGAAACTAAGCCATCTACGAAAGTTGACACATGTTTGGAAGGACAATTCACCAGGAATTCAAGGCTTTCAGAATCTAAGATCCTTAATTGTAAATGATTGCGATAGTTTGAGAAATCTGTTCTCATACTCTCTAGCCAAACTTCTTGTAAAACTACAACAAATAGTGGTAACTGAATGTGTTATGATGGAATCAATCATTGGAAATGAACCAAATACAGATGATGCAGTGATCACAAATATGATCATGTTCCCTCAACTAAGTGGTCTCAAACTCCATGATTTGCCAAACCTTAGGAGTTTTTGCTCTGAGGCTCGTACATTTGAGGGATCGTTGTTGAAAAAAATACAAGTACTCAACTATCCCAAAATGAAGATACTCCCATCAGCATTTCAGCACAAGCTAGACCAACAAAAGGCAGACTTTTCAACCTCATCTCAACTCCATCTGTTCGATCGAAAGGTATATTAATTAACTTTAAAATATAGCATTCACTGTTAATTAATTATCAATTCTTGCAAAGAAAAATGGATGGCAAATGTGTGTTTTTGAAAATAGACCACCGATTTTTTTTTTGGGTGACAAACATGACAAATTGAACAGGTTACAATCAGATCGAGATAATTTTATTTTTTTTGGAAGATTTACACAAAGGACCCTACAAAATAAATGGTTTAGATATTTCGATAATCTAAATCATTTATTTTGTAAGATTTGTGCATAAATTATCAACAAAAAAATCATATTGATATGATAATCATAATAATGTAATTTTATCATATTTATGTTCAAAAAAATGGAAGATCGTCTAGCTTTTTAAATCCATTTTTTTGAGAACAAAGATGATAAAATCATATTATTTTAATTATCAAATCAATATGATTAGTTTATTATTATTATTATTATTATTATTATTATTATTATTATTATTATTATATTTTATGATCTATACACAAAGACTATTATAAAAAATAAAAAAATAAAAAAACTATTTAAATTACTAAAGTGAGACTTGTGATAAACGTTACGTACGCCCCTACCCTATACCTAGCCCAACCACTCTTCCAAATTTTTTAACAAAGATTTATTAGGTAAACAAATTTGTAAACATCAATTCTTGGAGTTCTCTATTCTAGTTTATTGATGAACAATAAAAGAACAAATAGATGGGCACGTGGACAAAATGATATATTTGTAAATAAATAGATAGATGGATATGTAAATGTTATATGATATTTGAAATTGTTGTTATCATTAAGGATTATATATGTATATATATATATATAATTTGAGACAATTGCCCTCAAGATTTTAATTTTAAAGTTAAATGATTGACCCGATTGTTCTTTATTAAACTAATATATTGATAATATATGAGATGATAAATTGTGTTGATTCTCCACCGTGATTCACTACAAGAAAAAACACTTTTAGCGACCACTTATTTTGAGTTGGTCGCAAATAGTCCACTTTCTACGACTAAAAATTTTTTGGTCGTTGATGGGTATGTTTTTGCGACCCACAATATTTTGGTGGCTAATAGCTAATTTTTGGCGACCAAATACAAATTTGGTCGCAAAAAGTCGTCTTTTGGCAATTAAAAAATAAGTTGGTCGCGAATGACTTAACTATTGGCGACCAACTACAAATTTGGTCGCGGAAGATTATCTTTTGGCGACCAAAAAATAAGTTGGTCTCGAATGACTTAACTATTGGTGACCAACTACAAATTTGGTCGCGGAAGATCACCTTTTGGCGACCAAAAAATAAGTTGGTCGCGGAAAGTTATGGTGGAATAAATTAAAAAAAAAAAATGGGTACTACTGTAATTACATTCTATTTTTCTGTTTAGGCATTGAACATTTTATGAAATAATATATAACCCAATTTTTATGGATTATATATTTTCTCTACCATATGTGAACAACAAACATGTTTTGGCAGAGTGGATTGGGCGCATGGAGAGTGACTCCTTGGTCAGGAGTTCAACTCCTAGGCAGCGCAAAAGATGGCGTTGACTTTTGGCGACTAACTATAACTTTGGTCACTAAAAGTTACCTTTTGGCTAATATGGATAGGACTTTCCGCGACTAATTATTTGGTTGCCAATGGTCCCTTTTAGCGACCAACTATAACTTTGGTTGCAGAAAACTATCTGTAACGAGGCTTTAGTGACCAACTTGCGACCAACACATTTTTGGTCGCGAAAAGATTTTAGCGACCAAATATAGCACTTTTCGCGACCAAAAACGTTGGTCGCAGAAAGTGTTATTTCTTGTAACTCCCACTCGATTTGAACGGTTTGAGATGCCCAATTAGTCAATCAATATCCATCTAGTCCAATTTTATTCACATATTTTTTGAATGTGTAAATAACACACATATTTTGATTTATATAGAATAATAAGACTTATTATTTTGGGTGGGATATCATTACACTTTTTAGATATTAAGTTTACATATTAGAGAAATCCTATTTTGTGTTTTTTTTTTTTTTTATTGTATGAACAAATTCATTTTCTTGCCATGCACTCCTTAATTTGTGTTAATTTTGTCTAATGTATAAAATGTGTCATGTGGTATTTCTGTCTGAGGCCATTTGCCGTATTTGTTAAAATTATGACAAGTTGAAAAGCTCATTCTTATGAAAAATTAAATTGATTTGAATACTATAGTTATATTATTATATTACATTTGTTTTCAAAATAACAAACAGTATAGAATAAAATTATAATTGTTGTCCATTTCTATATGACAAATGTGATCTAACCATGTAATTATAATTGTCCAAACAACTTGATTTTTTACAAGGATGATTTTCTCGATAGGTTGTTCGATATGAATGGCTCAAATCATTAAGGTTGGCCTTGTGATGGGCCTAGAAGCCCAACAACACCTCCAATTAATTTTGCCAACTGAATAAAAACGTTATACATTATTAAAGATTTTTAGGTCTCTTTAATCTTACTGATTTATCCCTAAAATTCTCCATTCAAAGTGCATAATTTTTATTTTTTTTTTATTTTCTAAAGTCCATAATTTTATATTGTTACTCGATATTGTGACAATATGACTTTTTGGATCATGTTTCTTAACGAGTGGAGCCTTCTACTGGGGGAAAAACTATATAAGTCTTAACTATGATATTAAAGAAATAAAAAAAATTTATTAATAAATTTTTTATATATACAACTTATAAAAAATTAGGTAGGAGTAGCAAAATTTAGGGACTAATATGTAATTTTTTCCTTTCTTATAATACTTGCAGAGTGAGATGGTAACTGTCTAACATATGTTAGGGAAGAGAGTTGGATGTGTAAAATTTAAATAGAAAGGGCGATTTCTCTATTTAATTTTTGGCTTGAAGCATTGCTTTACTACAGTTTATCTTGATGACAGACTTCATTTTCAGATTTCATACAACTATATCAGGCACCGTTTGGGAGGCCAAAGCTGGGCTATTTTAGCCATGTCACGACAAAAGTGACTGTTTTAGCCACATGCCGACAAAACCCTCATAATCACTTGGCTAAAACCATTGCATCGATAAATTCTATGACGATGTTTCACTAAGCCAATAGTCAAAAGATCTTTTGGAGTCTTACCATATTCCTTCTAGGATGCTGAAGTGGTGATTTTGCAGACAAAGATGAGGAATCACAACCAGCCTTTGCTTTATTTGAAGAACTTTTAGTATTTTTAAAGGGGTCTTGTATTCTTGCACTCTTTTGAACAATATATATCTGCAGAAAAAATAAGTTACAGATCACAGAGAGACACATCAATTTCATTTATTACAAATAAACATTAAACAAATTATTACAGATTCAATGCCTTTAAAAATTAATACTGTTACAATAATAACCTGGTTAGCCAATCTAATTATTCTTTGAACAAATCCATTTTTTTCTGATGCGGGCAACAAATTTGATTCAACAAACGGTCTAGTATGACCAGCAAAAATTGACGTATACCTGTTTGACCAATCTGATTATGCTTTGAGTGGCTTGTACTGAGCACATTATTCTTATTGGATTTAGGAAGTGAATGAGCACCTGACCTTGAAGCAGGTATTTCATTTTTCCGACTCAACTCTGCAACGAAAGTGTAGTGTTTTTCTGCGATCGATCTATACAATTAAAATCAATTAAAGTTTCACTTCTTTCTCGAGAATCGAGATTAAAACTAGAAACACTCAACGGAAACTCAAAAAAGAAAAAAAAAAGAGTTGAAAAGTAGTAAAATTATGAACACGTGAGAAAGGAGAAGAAAGAAGAGCGATGAATTGAGGAAATGTAGAGAGGACATAATCGAATCAAAAGAATACAGACTCACGAATACCTGGATCAAAGCATTGCACTGTTTACGAATGCCTATGAACTACATAATGCCTATGAGAATTGCACTGTTTAGAGCTGAATAAACTTAGAAAATGAATAAATTTACTCGTCCATAACTGGTAAAAAAGGTTATCCCTAATCAAAGCATGGGAAGAAAGTGAGAAGTCAAAAGCAGAGAACAACTAAGATTTTTTTCAAATATATGATGTTATTTCAGAGGTAATGAGAAGTTTTCTCAGCAACCAAACAAAGGATCGAAAGCACAATCTAGAGTTTTGAGATTGTAGAGCTCTGAGATTGTAAAACAAAGGACCGAAAGCACTAACCTCTGATTGAAGAGATGAAGAGTTCCAAATCGAACTTCGAAATCACGGAGCTGGAGCAGATTTTGAAGGATTCGATTGGTTTTTCTGAGATTGTAGACGGCGGTGCTCAAAATCGAACTTCGAAATTGCAATCACTTTGAGAAACTACGAGATTGAAGCCATACGGTTGCAGATAGGTTGGGTCTGAGAAACATAGAAATCGCAATCGCTCTGAAGAAGAATCGAGAGAGAGCAAGAGAGTGAGAGATTTGAGTGAGTGATAACTTCGAACTTGACGGCGGTGGGTTTTCAAAATAAAGGTGTGGAGAGACAAAATAGGGTTCGTCATTTGGAGGCGCTTCCAAGCGTCTTCTATTCATAAAACGGGGCCGTTTTGATTAACAACAAAAGCGACGTTTTAAAAACGCCGTTAATTATTCAAAAAAGTGACGTTTCATAAAACGTCGTTAATTAAACTCCGTAAAATCTCTAATTTCCTGTAGTGACGGAGGCTGAGTCTGATTATTCTATTTTAAAATTGTATTTGATTCATGAATTTAAATAGAGGTTTGAAAATAGAAAGGAAAATGAAAATATGTGTGAAATGTAAGTGAAATGTAGTTATATTTTATTCACATTTTACTTATATTTTCTCTTTTTCTTTTCAAATTTTTTCTCAAATCCATAAATCAAACACAACATAAGACTATTTGGATGCTGCTGTTTTTCTTTAATTAAATTCCATGAACAAAACAAGTCGTGTCCTAAGTTTAAATGCTTCAGTTTCCTTGGCTATTGTTCAAATACTAAGATTGTGTTTTGAATAATAAATTTAGGCAGGAATCTTGAAATGGAAAAGAAAAAAGGTGAGGACAATGTCAATAAAGTATAAGTTAATTTTTTCTTCATTTGTTCTTTTCTTTATCTTTTCAAATTCTTATCTAAATTCATAATAACACAGCGTAGAAGATACTAATGATTTAATATTTTAAATGTTGACTTACCAAGAAAGATTTTAACCGTTGTTGGGTATCTTACATTATGCAAGTATTTTATAGGACCAGAAATATCATTTTGACCCCAAATTATCACTCAAAAAATAACTTAACCTCTATTCTTTTAATAATATTAATTAATTTTGAATCAATTTTACTGCCACCGTTAATTGCCGTCTATGACCATGAAAGTTGTTAATATGACACCAAAATTTCATTTTATTTCCAAACTATCCCCAAAACTCCAGAATAAATTGAAGGTTTCGGGTATAGTAACAATGTCACTAACACTAACACAGTTAAGTTCAATGAATTTGCAGTTTATTTTCAGAGAATTATTTTGCCGACTTTGGAAAACTTTCTATCACAGACATAAATGGATCAATAGAGATGTGGCACAACCAACTTGAAGTTGACCTCCTTGACAAAGTGAGAATCATGTTGGTCCAATGTTGTGAGAAATTATCAAATGTGATCTCGTCGAATTTAATGCAAAGACTACGAGGTCTACAACGGCTGAAGGTATGGTGGTGTGATTCACTGGAAACAATATTCGACCTGTCGGTATGCGTTAGTACTACTGGTGAGGAAGGATCATTAATCACTCGGTTTGATGATTTGAAATTGATGTATTTGCCCAAGTTGACGCATATATGGAAGAATGTTTCTCAACAAACTCGTTGTGTCAAAGATCTAACATCCCTAGAAGTGGAGAGGTGTGACAACCTGAGATATATATTCACAATTTCCATGGTCAAGGTCCTTGGGTGTCTAGAATGTCTAAGAATTGAAAATTGTGAGAAAGTAGAAAAGATTGTCACCAGGGAAGTAGAAGAAGAAGATGAAGATGATGACGACGATGACGATGATGATAATGATGAATAGACCAAATTCATTATTTTCAGTGTGAAACTTGAAAATCTTTCGAGTCTCGTGTGTTTTGGAATTCCGGAATCCCAAATTGATATCTCTGAATTGCGTATAGATTTCTACCCCAAGTATCGAGGTAACTAGGGGCGGAGGGAGCATGTGACCAGGGGGGTCACGTGCCCCCCCTGGATTTTGGGAAATTTTTATTTATTTATTTATTTTTTTACAAACATAAAAAAAAATTACAAAAATATTATTAGAGTGAAATGTCAATGACATTTTAAAAATTATGAAAACAATAATGGTTATTTTGATTGAAAATGAAGAGACTATTATAAATAAACCATATTAGCTATGAAAATTTTTTAATGTAAGGACGATGTCATTATTAGTGATATGCAAGTATAAGTAATCTCACTATAAAGATATGAAATTTATTAGATTGTTAGTTACATTTGACATGTGAGGTTCACTATGTATGCGTTTATTTACCATTAGTGGGTGATGTTACATACCAGTGATGACGTGGTATTACCATTATATTGAATTTTTAATCAAATTTTGTATCAAAAAATAATTTATCATTATATAATTTATTTGAAGGCTTATATCCATTTTTTTTTTTTTTGTATTGTCCATGATACACTAGTTACAAATAATATTTTTTTTCTTGATGTTTCCTGAAATCAATCATAAGAAATTTACGTGAAATATTTTTGTAAAAATTATTATAAGTAGTAAGTGCCCCATCTAAATTAATTTTCTGGCTCCGCCCCTGGAGGTAACCAATTATACTTCCAAGCAAATATGCTTCTTTTGTTCTAGTTGTTTTCCAAATAAAATTCTGTCAAGAAAGCAACTTCACTACATCATATACTTGCCACATCGACATCTCCCAAAATGGGAGCTGTTTAAGGAAGAAGATTTTCTCCAACATTTTCTTCATCCATTCACCATTCAATAGTTGATTCAAAAGTCACAATGGATGATAATGGTTAATTGTTAAATTGTTAGAAGAAAAAAAGTGCTAGAGAGAATTCAAATCCACGATTTAGCTGTTGTCATCCATGGTTCGGTTACGTCCGATCAAACCTGTTGGCTTCATTTACCATAAAACATGCGATGACTGAATTAGCTAGCACCTCGAGAAACCACTCTCATTTTGTTTTTCCTAATAACTCAAGGAAACGACTTCACTGCACTGTACATGCCACATAGTTATCTAAAATAATAATAACAATAAGGACAAATTACGCTAATAGTATTCATATTTTGATATTTGTGTTATTTTGGTTTTTATAACTTTAATTAGTTCAATTTTAATCATAAATTTATGATTTTTATTAATTTAGTCGAATTGCTTACAATTGTTAATATTTTAATAAAAAAAATACACATATAAGTCATATATGTTATGCTTTTTAGAATCAAAATTATAAATTTACTCATCTTGAGTTAACCTTAAGTAATTTAGTAATAATTTTTTATCAAAAATACTAACACTATTATCAATTGGACTAAACTGACACAAAATCTAGAATTAAGAATCAAAATTGAGTCAACTGAATGTGAAGGGACCAAAATATACCAAAGACAAAATATAAAGACTACCAGTGTCGTTTGTCCTAACAATAATAAGAAAATGCTACATATAATTATATTTCTAATTATCTCATTTTCTCATACACAAATAAATGGATTCTATATGCATTTATGAATATGAATCCCATTTTTTGTGTCTAGAAATGATAAAAAGAGGTCATAAATGAAATCATATATAGCCAGTAGTGGAGCCAAGAAATTAAATTAAAAGGAGCACTTATTAATTATAACATTAAAAACTTTTACAAAAATATTTCACATAAATTTTTACAATTGACTTCAAGAAAGATAATATATATATATATATATTATTTGTAACTAGTATATCATGAACAATATAGAAGAAAAAAAAAAGTCATGGATATAAGTTTTAAAATAAATTATATAATGACAAAGTAATTTTTTATACAAAATTTTAGTAAAAATTCAATATAATAGTAATACCACGTCATCATTGACATATGATATCACCAACCAATAATAAAGAAACATATAGAAAATGAACTCCAAATGTCAAATGTTATTAACAATTCAATAAATTCCATATCTTTATTGAGATTAATAATAATTGTATATCAATAATGATAGAAATCACCATTGTATTGAAATTTTCATAGATAGTAATATTGACTTATTGTAATATCTTTATTTTTAATAAAAAAAAAACTATTATTATTCTCATAATTTTAAAAATGTCATTGATATTTCACTCTAAATAATATTTTATAATTTTTTTATTTAAAATATTTTCTTTATGTGTGTGCACACAAAAAAAAAAAAATTCAAAACCCAGGAGGGCGCGTGACCCCCTGGCTCCACTGTGGCTCTGCCACTCTGCATATAGCATTGCTCTAATAATAATAATAAGGTCTCCAAAGATACATATTCTTAAGCTAAGATGGCTAACTTGAGAAAAGCTAAACCCTTAATAAACTATGTGAATGTTCTTAATCTTAAGATATAATTATTGTCTCCAACAATTGGTATACTTCGGAAATTAATAATATATCCTCCAGATTTAGAGCATTGTGTATACACTAATTTCTTAACAATGTGATTGTGACTAATATAGTATTGGTTAGCAATAGATGAATTCATTAACTTATGCTCTGTTTGGATATTTGGAGAGGGTTTTGGAAACAAAAAGGAAAAAAAAAATTAACTTATATTTCATTTACATTATTCTCACATTTTCCATTTTCTATTTTTCTTTTCAAATCTTTATCGGAATTCATGATCTAAAATACAAATCATAGTTTTAAGTAGGAATTTGAAAAGGAAAAAGAAAGAAATGAGTGAAATGTGAATAAAAATACAAGTTAAATTTATTTTATTTTTTTCTCTATTTCAATTTACCTTTTCCATTTTTTCTCTATCCAAATTTATAATTCAAACACAATATATACATAGTTGACTTTGTCTTCTTTTTTTTCTTTTTTTTTTGACAATTGGCAGAAGATTAATTAAAAATTAAAAATTTATCTGTCTATACGATTATATAAGCAAAAATATAGTGTGTGATTGATGCTCAAAGTCGCAATCTATTTTTAAAAAGTCGAGTCGTTAGATAATTTTTTTTTTTTTTCCTTTTTATGGTGGGTGAAAAG